AGCAAAGCCGCCCTGATTCGCCTCCACTTGTTCGCAAAACAGAGCTGCTCTGGGACTGGGCCGGAATGTCAGATCACAAAGTGGTATGACAGCCACTGAGAGCAGCAGAAGCACTCTCAGACTGGAATAACAACCCCCAGAGTGGAATGATGGGAGCAACAGAGCGAGGTGCTCCTGGATTGGAATGACAGGGTTCAGAGTCCCAGAGTAGAACGACAGCCCATGGGAATAGAATCTGGGACTGGAATCATATACCACAGAGTGGAATGACAGCCCCTGCAAGCAGCAGAAGCATCCTGGTCCCTGGGAGTAGCAGATGTGCTTTGGGAGTGGAATAAAAGCCACAGGGAGCAGCAAAAGCATTCTGGGACTGGAATGACAGCACCTGGGAGCAGCAGGGAGCGATGAGCAGCTTGAATGTGGGAAGGAGGCCTCACAGAACCCCTCAGCAGGGCCATCCCATCCCCCATTCCTCTGTTTGCAAGGGCCCTGGCCATGCCATCCAAGTGTCCTTTGGCTGGGCTTCAGCAGGTTGGATGCCCAGATCCATGATAGGTGGTGACATCAGGAATGCAGTGGGGTGCTCAGTGCCCCACACCCTACCTCCTTTGCCTCTACCTCTCTGACCAGGTGGTTAGGGCACCACCCTAGGTGGGTTCAAACCTCTTTCTTGTGCTCTACAGCCAGGCCAGCCATTGCAGCGGGAGGTGAAGTTTGCCTTTTGGCTGTCTCCCCAGCACCTGAACCCATGCATCTTGTGTGATGCCACAGAAGGTTCCTGGCTGACTTTGGGTGTCACATAGTCTCAGCTACACCTACCTCACAGGATTGTTGTGAAGATAAAATTCAGGGGTGGAGAACATCAGCCACTTCGCATCCTCATTGGGGAGGAAGGCAGGGCATACAGAGAGGCTGACAAATATCCCCTCCTTTACAAAACAGGAGAGAAGAAGAAGAGGCAGAGTTTGGATTTATACCCCACCCTTCACTACCCAAAGGTGTCTCAGAGCGGCTTACAAATTCCTGTCCCTTCCCCTCCCCACAACAGACACCCTGTGAGGTGGGTGGGGCTGAGAGAGCTCTTGACAGAAACTGCTCTTTCTCAAGAACAGCTCTTATCAGAACTATGGCTTGCCCAAGGTCATCCAGCCAGGTGCAAGTGGAGGAGTGGGGAATCAAACCCAGTTCTGCCAGATTAGAGTCCGCACACTTAACCACTACACCAAACTGGCTCTGAAGAATCTCTGAGCTAAAATCTCTGAGCTAAAAGAGCCAGCAGCATAGTTTAGTTGATAGAGGGTCTGACTAGGATCTCGGAGGTCCAGGATCCAATTCCCCCCCCCCCAGCCGCCTTAGGTGCTGAAAATTGCTGGGTGGTCTTGGGCCAGGAACTCATTCTTCATTTAACCTACCTCATAGGGTTGTTGTGAGAATGACAGGGAGAAAACAAGAGTGACCCGGCATGTTTGGCTTCAATTCTGCAGACTTATTTCCAGAGCACGTCTGTCTGTTTGTTTAGTTACTCATAAGCGACAATCCTGCACAGTTTGCCTTTGTGGGATTTAAATCCTTCATGCACCATGATGGCATTTGTCACCTCACCTCTGCACCATCTTCAGTAGTGGGAAAATACAGGCAAACTCTGAGGCAAGATTTGAAGTTGGGTACAACGGTCCATAGATTTTTAGTTTCAACCCAAACTGGCATGCTCTTGGGGCGAGAACCAGTTTTTGGGCTGGGCACCAGAACACGCCCTATGGCCTGGCAGTGTCGCCCGAGTGCGGAGATGTATGATTTGGGGTGGCCCAAAGAGGGCAGTTCCTTATTGCAACCCTCTTCCCCAAGGAGCTTCAGGGGGGATCCCAGAGAGAATGTTGCAGGGCACAGTCCCCTGAGTGTGGTGGGGTATGATGGGGTGGCCAAAAGTATATTGTAGGATGCAGAGAGGGCATCCCACTTTTTTTTTGCTTTTGCTGTGGCGGAAGTGCTGTCAAGTCGCAGGTGACTTATGGCGACCCCATAGGGTTTTCAAGGCAAGAGACATTCAGAGGTGGTTTGCCATTGTCTGCCTCTGGGTCACAACCCTGGTATTCCTTGGGGGTTTCCCATCCAAATACTTACCAGGGCCAACCCTGCTTAGTTTCTGAGATCTGATTAGATCAGGCTAGCCTGGGCCATCCAGCTCCAGGTTTCATTGTTGTTGTCTTTGCTGTACTGTTGTTTATTTAAAGCTTGTTCTGGCTTTCATTCCATCACACTGGATTCCCCCTTGTACCCCAACCCCCAAATCAAAGAGAGACATGGGTGTGAAAAAATAGATCTTTTAAACAGATATTAAAGCAGATTCTTGTGGCAGGCACTTCAAAGAGAGCCAATCTTCTTTTAATATTACTTTATAATCAAGATCTTTTTCCTCTTCTTCTTCTGAAATAAATATGAAGTATAAATACTGCATGGATTGTGGTCTTCTCTGAACTGTGATGCCAGATGTTGAGCTGTGCAGATAGGTTTTTTAAATAGTAAAATTGAAAGCTTGTGTATACCTCAGTGTGGAGATCATTCCGTTTATCCTGTTAATGGGGTCTGATAACATATTTAGTGCTTTCCTCGAGAGTGCAAGAAAGGATTTCCAGCTGTCAGAACAATATGCTTTTTTACTATGACCATTTATTAGTTGAACAAGTTTGGCTTATATAGCCCAGACTTTTTGAAGCCACAAAGGGTTGGCCTCATGTTCCCTGGTGCTCCAGTTTCAGGCTCATGGGAACACTCCCACCGTGATGAGGTCACACCCCTCCAGGAGCAAAAGGGAGAGTTATCGAAGAAAGGCAACAGATCTTAACTGGATTCTTTGACCAGAAGCTTTTCACCCTCTGGACACTGATCAGACAGGTGGAGTGGAACAGCCTTCTTCCTTTTTTCCACATTTCCAGCAGGCTTATGGGTCTGCGTGATGCATCTTCTGTGGTTTAGGGAGCGGTAAGCAGCAATGAGGAAGGGCTTTAGACACATTGTGTAACCCAGTCTTTCGAGAAATAAAGGCAAGTTCAAGGCATAGGGCCTCCTTTCTTAAAGGCCCCCTCCCACTCACACACCTCGGCTTAAGCAAGGCAACTATTTATTACAACAAGGAAAATACAGTTCTGCACATAGGATATTGTAACTCACCACCCGCAAACTCCTTTCCCTTCCCAAACCAAAGGTCCAGTCATCAGTGTTCCAGAAGTACTGTCCTCTTGTTGGAGCTGGTCTGGCCGCAGTCCCTCAGAAGCAGGCCTCCAGTGGGAAGGGAAGTTCTGAGGACCTCTCTCCTCACCAGCTGAGAAAAGAAATCGGCTTCAGTTCAAAGACAGATGGTCTGGGGGTTGACCTCTTCCACAAGGAGTGATGTCCATTCAGGGAGGGCCCACAACAGACAAAAGCTTCTTCAGCTGAGACCTTTCAGCAATCCAGTCCTTGGAGAGACAAATCAACTAGGCCTCTCTTTTCTCCACCCACTACCCAGGTTGTTGGTTTTTTTTAGTCACTCACTACACACACACTCCTCTCAATATGCAAATTTAAGTATTTAATTGCTCCACCCAACAGCATATTTCCCCCAAAATTCCACATTGTGTGTCCTTCACAATTATTTGTACCGCTGTGCTGTAGTAACGGAAGAGGAGAAAACCATTTGCCAGAAAATCATCTTTTGGAGGCTGTATACTGTATACTGAAACTATATACTGGTCTGATATGCTGGTCATCTAGTATCCTGGCCAGATTCAGGTGCATGATTATGGGGATTGTTCCAGATAAGATTAT